CAAAAACGAACCCCTTCCGGATGTCACTGATGCTGAGGAGCAAGCATCCTGGCAGGTGATACAGCAGTACATTCAAAGCACCGCGAAGTACAGCAAGATGGTGGAGGATGGTAGTGACAGTGAGGAGTCAAGTGATGAAGACAACTGATGTTTGTGCACAGGTGCGTGATCTTTTAGTTTGTTTCTTAGCCGGCTCTGGCTCAAAGCATTTTCTTGTATAATTTTAGTACAACTTTGGCTCCGCTTGTTTATTCGGTTTTGGAACGTAGCAGTGGCGGTTCGACTGCTCCGAGACATAACGTTTGAGGCGTTTCATAGTAGTAAAAATGTAGAGTGGACTGCGTGGAGTGCTTCTATAAAACAGCTAGTACCAGCCTCCTACGTTGTTGCGCTCGCCATGAAATCGGCTTCGTTTTGCGTTTTTTCGTCGTGTGTTCCGCGTTCGTTGGGTCGTAGAATGTAACTCTCCACCACTAAATTAATGATGAGATCGAGGCGCGGGTAGCCTTTTTTTAGCGAGAAGTTGATGAGTTTTCACGACCTCCAAAAATCACCAAATCAAGAATCTTGGTTTTTTCCTTGATTTTTTTCCTCCGTTTGGCCAATTCTTCGCCAAAAAGCCAGGTTCTGGCCAAGAATTGTCCATTCGCGGAAAAAAAATCTAGGAAAAAACCAAGATTCTTGATTCGCCTATTTTTTGCGACTTGGAAAAACATGTGAAATTCACAGAAAAATCTATGTTGGACAGCATTCATTCCAATGCAAATACCTCTCTCTGGGACCTGTCGTGACCACTTGAAGAACTGTTTCGGGCCTTGAATTTTCCGTCTTTGATGTGCTCTTACCTGTTGATGATTTGCGAGATTGCATGCTTCGAAAGACGCCTTCAGCAGATAGAGTAGTAGCATTTTATGAGTGTTTTGTAATTTTTCAGGCGTTGCACACACTAGAAAAAAACTGCAAAAATCATGCACGCCGGTGAGGCTTTGAAGGATATGCTCCTTCCGGGCGGGCCCAAATTGGAGTCCGACGAGCAAGAAGCCAACAAGGAAAAAGTAGAAATAACCCCTACTACCTTTCCAACGAAAGAAGAAGCGGACGAGCTGCTCCGGAAGAAGGACGCCGGGGAGTTGGAAAATCAGCAGCAGCTTATCGACTTCGTCGAGGACCGGTGCTACGACCGCACGCAGCCCGGTGATATCCTCATCACCGCTACGATTCTCACCATGATCGCGATGCACGCGAAGAACCTGTTGCGGAAGTTATCGTGGATGATCGAGTTGTTCGGCCACATGGTGAAGGGGAATTTTTACAACACCGCCAGTACTTTACCTGTTTTCAAATCGTTTCCGCATGACAAATTCTCATAGCAGATAAAAGTTGAAAAGCATCATGCAGCCACTCTTCTATTCGAAATGAACAGCATTACAGATTTGAAAAAATAACACCTTCCAGAAATCTTCCTGCTCCGGTCGAAGGGCAAGCTCCGCCCGGTGTCCGGTAATCACAGCATTCAGGCGCTCCTCCGTTTCCATGCGAAGTATGGGGACCGTGCGTTCAAAATCGGGCTCGTGTATTGCATCTGTTTTTGAAATTTTTTTACATTCAAATTCCCAGACACGGTCTTACTGTAAGATTAATAGGGTTAACGGTTTCCCCATGGTAGTTGCGCAGTATCATGGTGGTTCACAGGGAGATGCCTATGATCCGCATGACAAAAATAAAAAACAACCAAGGTGCAACATCTTGGATGAACGACTCGACCAGCCAGAGTTCAGTCGACTTCTCGACACTTACATTAATTGTAAAAACGAGGGTGTTACCGGGATGGAAGCCACTACGGCTGAGAAAGTGCTCGTACTTTTTCCCATGGTAAATTAAATCCTTTTTGCGTTTTGTTTCTTATCAAATTTTGACGAGCGAAGCGGCCTGCAGCTGAAAACTGTAGTCCGCGTTGATGTATCTCATCAGGGTCGCAACAGATGCGTGGCCAGTAATCTGTTGAATCGTTGATAGCGCGACACTGTTGCGAAACAGGTGGGACGCCAGGGATCGCCTTGGCGTGTGGGACGTAATCAGCGTCGCGGGGCAGGAGAGGGCGTTCCGGGTTTTGAAGGTTTGGCGAACCTGCCTCACCTTCAGCTCGAACGCCTCATATCCAAAATTGAAAATCTTATCGCCCGCCTTTTTTCCGTCCTCGCGCATCTGCGCGAGCTGGTTTCTTATGAAGGTGGCCGTTGCTTTCGCCGGATCGATGGGCACCCATTTCAGGTGGCCGCGGCCGTTTGGTTGCTTTGCCAGCTTACTGTTTCCGATGCGCACCCGCCCCGGCTCGACGTCCGCGAGGGTGAGGGAGCGAACGTCGATGCCCCTCCGCCCCGTGAAACATTGCAGGAGCCAGCAAAGCTTGTAGGCCTCGCCGGCCTTCTTTTTCCGCCCTGCTGATTTTGCGAGTTGGTCTGCAAATCGACGGGCGTCGCACATACTCAGGGAACCGCTGCGCTCTTCCCCATCCGCTGCGTTTTCTTTGCCATGCCCTGTCGGCCTCGCCTGCAGTTTTTTGCCCGCCGCTGCCTTCTGCGCAGCCTTTGCCCCGCTCTTCTTGGTTTGGCTTTTACTGCTCTTGCGCGCCATCGTTTGGCCTTTGTTGTTGTTCTGCAGGTGCTAGTCCTTATTGCTGGTTTTGCAAAATCGCGGATGTCGATCAGCGCGGTGGCAATCAAGACTTAGGAAAAAAAATTGCTTTACGTGACTAGTGCGAAGATGATGACGTGACTAATGCGAGCTGTTTTTGGGTTTTGTTTTTGGAAGTTAGCAAAATAGCAAAGCACTTCTTTCACATTCCAGATCGAGAAAGCTTGGAACAAGCACAAGGCAACGCTGAAGCACAAACCCACCCCCCAGGAGGAGCTGGATTTTTATCGGGTATCGATGGTCTTTGTGATCGCTTCTGGTTGTTGTTTAATTCGCCTGAGGAAATTGCATGAGAAATTCTGATCCTATTAATTTCGAAAACTGCATGAGAAATTCTGATCCTATTTCTATTTACGTTCCGAAAACAGACCTATTGCATTGCCACGCGCAATCACTACGAAATTACCGAGCTCTTGTACCTGGGTAAGCTGTTGACCAGGCTGTCGACCAATTGGCCGCATTTTATGCGGCGGTATTCCACGAGGAACGACGAGTCCAAGTATGCCCAGTTCATCAGGTAGTGTGCTGCTTTCTACGCATGACAGATTTGCTTTGCATAGTGCCGTAATGCATCACAAAAAGCACGACGCACTCCCCACCCCACATTACATCTCGCCACAGCTCCGTCATCCGCGTTGTATGGCGCAGACGTTGGTGTTTTGCTTCAACAGAGTTGGTCCGGAATTTGTCTGTATTAATTTTTGTGCAAGATGGTGCTTACCACCTGCAGATCACTGTGTGCTCTGCAGTTGGTCTTGTCAAATTCGAACCGCACCAACCAGCGTGAACCAATTCGCCTGCTTTGCTCATGAATACGCTGTCAAGCTCCAGTACCAAACGCCCCCGGTGAAGGATTACTCGGCGTCTGCGTGGTTGCAGCTGTGGTGCGGCCAGGACGGGTTTGTGAAGACGGAGTTGTACGCGGGGGTGAAGGGAATTAAAATCGGGGTGGAGGAAATGACAGCGATCGTCAAGCTGGTGCGGAACAACTACCTGCGGCCAGACGAAGCTGCGGGCACCCGAATGTCGGAGCGAGTCCAGGAGCGTATGGCAGTGAGTATAATGAGAACAAGGTCGACGCAGGGGAAGATAGAATATATGTTCAGCAAATCTGTCATGCAAAATTTTTATCGCGATCGCGTGAAGATGTTCCAACTCCAGTCGCAGTCTGTCATGCAAAATCATGATCATGCACAGTAAAAGTTAAAGTTTGTCATGCAGAATAAGTCTGTTTGTATCCAAAAAAAAATCTGTCATGCACACTTCCCGCCCAACCTTGATCTCTTTTTTTATTTCTTCTGGATACAAAAGAACTTAATTCTCGTACACATCATCGCCGAGATGATCAGAAACGCGAAGACCGGAAAGCAGTGGGACGAGGACCGGGAGGCGTTGGTGTGGACGGTATAGCTGCTTGCTTTTTTTTGGACTCGTGGAATCTCATCGTTAAAATATTTTTGCAATTTTGATTTTGAAGGAGAAGATTTAGAATTTGTCATGCGTAGAGGTAGAGCCATCTGATGTCGCCCTTCTCACAACAACCCACTTCATCGACCACAGGACCGCGACAACCTGAAGTTGACCGACCTGCAGACCAAAACCGTCGTGGGGCTAACCCCGGAGGACTGTGGCCTGGCCTACCCCGAAACGTGGAAGTTGTCGAAGGCCCGGGCACAGGAGCAGAACAAGCAGGGTGGCTGGCTCAGTCTCATCCTCGCGCCGATTTCGAAGTTGATGGAAATTACCCCCCAGGCCTTCAAGGGCATGACCCAGATCAAGCTGCTCAACGCGCCGGTCATTGCCTGCGGTAACTTGGTGGCGAAGACGGTGGTGCGGCTGGATTACGCCAATGCCGGCGCGTTTCAGATGTTGGACAACAAGCAGTGCGCGATCGTGGGCAAGTGTGAGAACGTGGAGGAGAAGTACTACACCAAGCAGGGGAAGTTGGCGACAACTGCGCTGACCCGGCAGATTAACGACTGCGAATCCAAGTACTCGAAGCTGCGGGCGACGATCCTGAAAAACAAGGAGGCGAAGAAGAAACAAATCAAGCGGAACAACTCCAACGACGACAGCGTGCAGATGGAAATGGCGACGGAGATCGAGAAGGCGCACAACGATGAGAAGGCGGAGTTGCAACGGTTGCGGGATGAGAACAAGAAGTTGTTGACCGACCTGGAGGAGAAGGCGGTGGCCTGCTCCACCCTCGATTTTTTTGAGGTGCACTCCATGATGAGCAGCAAGATCACGACGAAGGTGTCCATGGAGAACATTCGTCTGGACAGCGAGTTTTACGAACAAAAGGACATTGAGGGGGTCAACTCGGAGTTCTGGCTGAACACTGCGGCGGCGCGGAAGACCAAGGTCCGGGGCGTCGAAATCCCTATCACCGTGACCGGGGAATTCGAGGAAGACAAGGCCGCTTTTTACCAGAAGGGGTTGAAGATGGTGTGGAAGTGCACGGCGGCGATCGGCGACGGGGAGAGCATCGTTTTCAAGCCGGCCACGTACCGCTTCGACCTGGAGGGCGACGAGCAGCTGTGCGTGAAGTTCAAGATCCCCTTCAAAACCAGAGAGCCGGTGCCGGCTTTTTTCGACATGGAGGAGGACCCGACGAAGCCGCCGACCGGCAAGACCGCCCGCGAGAAATGGGACAAGAGCCTGCAGAAGGAGAAGGAAGCGTTCAAGGCGATGGCCGACCTGGGGAGCTGCATGATTTCGAGCGACATGGCCGACATCGACATGCAGAACATCTCGAAACACATCGGGAGCAAGGCCGCGGCGGCATCCAACATGCAGAAGTTCACGGAGGAGGCGAAGAAGGTCGTGTCCGAGGTCACGGCGGCCTCCAGCAGTTCCGCTTCTTCCAGCTCCAGCGCGCCGGTGATCAATCCGCATGCGGAAAACAAGGTGGACTTGCTGAACCCGTTCGCATCTATGCGGGCCAACATGATGAAGGCGGAGGAGAAGAAGATCAACTTGCTGCAGTTGGAAGGTGATGATGAGGAAAATGAAAAAGTGGATGAAGAGGAGCTCACACCGAGCAAGAAGCAGAAGGTGTAGTTTATCAATATCAGCAGTTTATATTTAGCAAAAGCAAACTCCATCGCCACGTTTTATTTTCAGTAGCGCCTTTTTCTAATCCGTAGAATGATTTGCAGAAATAGTTTACTCAAACTCTCGCACATTTCTGATTCAGATTCTGAATGTTAATGATAATATTTTACACTCGTATTTCTATACAGCAATAAGCTAACTTTTTCGGTCGTTCGTAGTGTAGATCCGTCTACTCGTGCACCAGCTTCATTCACTTCCAGGTAGGAAGTCAGCACTTCGCTCTCAGCAGTGTTGCGTTGTCGATTTCGCTCGCAAAAAAATTAAGATACACCGAGATGTAGTTGAAGTAGAAGTAGCTTCATCATTTACAGGACCCAGACGCCCGGTTGTGTGTTACCCTATGCAAGTCGTAATTTTTATTTTTTGGCAGCACTACATCACAACTTGAACTTTAGTTGCAACTTCAACATCAAGACCTTCTGCAGATAAAGGCAAATAAGACACAGTCAAACAAAAATAATCGAGGGACGTTGTCACCAAAACTATTAGCAAACCCTGTTTCCTTTTGTCTTCGTTTTCAATGAACCTGTAGCAACGAATCCCAGCATGGTTGCGTGCGCCAACAAGTCACGACTTTCTCCCTCGTATCTCTGTTTCCCCTTGGCGCGAATCCTTGTGGTTCTGTATTAAACCACAAGTTTTGGTCGTATCCGCTCGTGCATGGCAAAAAAGTGCCTGAGATCTTTGCTCTGACGGAGGATGAAGCACGAAGATCAGCAGGCGGTCCGAAACCACACCAGTCGGTTGTGCTCCCAAGTTCTTTCGTCGAATTTGTCTTGCAGGAGATCAAGTCGTGAGTGTTGCGATCCGCGGAGGAGTAGCAGTCGGTCGTTCCGGATGTTGTTTGTAAACACACTAAATGATACAAATCACGATTTTTCTTGGTTTTTTTACTGTCCCGTTTTGCATTTTGTCCGTTCATATACTGAAACACGATGAAGCAGAAAACTACTGCTACCCGTATGTAAAGCAAAAGTGTCTGGGTCTGGAAGAGTCCGAACTTGTGATGCTGCATTTGGATTCCAAAAAAATGTGTATTGCATGACCAGCAAAGGGAATCGATTTTGGCTACGCGGAGAGGGCATTTGTCATGCGGAATAGGCATCGCGAAGCCCTCAAAAAGTCTGCAATGCTAGGGCATGCATCGCAGACATCATGGCCCATGCAAAACGTGCATGACAAGTCTCAGAATCTTCCAGACCCAGACACTTTTACATTTGATAACCCGTTTCTAGACTCCATTTTCCTGAAACTATTCCGGGACCCGAAATTCCTATTGGAAGACTATGGCGTTCTCAAATGTTACATTCTCAACTGTTGCGTGGATTTCTGATGCAAGAAAAGCGAAAGTGAAAGGGAGGACCTTGCAACTCGAGCATCACAAGTTTGGCACAGACATCCATGCTGTTTAGCCCTTCGGAGATTTGTCATGCGCAGCCGCTTGGTCGTGCGGTTGCTTATGGCAATTTTGCATGCCAAAAAATCCATGTAACACTTGAGAATGTAACGTTTGAGAACCCCATAAAGACGTGGGGTTTCTACGGTACTATGCTAGTACGACAGAAGGTGAAGGCGAAGTAGATTTTCTGGACGAGGGGTATGAAGCAAGTCCGAACTCCCATGACGAGCGCATGATAGCGGGGGCAACTCGAACTCACCCCATTCTAGGCCGGGACAGCTTTCAACAGGAGATGACCAACGATTTCTTCCCAAACTTCGTGCGCAAGCAGCAGTCGTTCTTCTCGAGAGTGACATCCAGTAGACCAACATCCTCTTCGAGTTGTCCTTTTTCAACATCTAGTAATTTTAAACATCCGTCCTCAACAATCACGGCGCCCTCTACCACCATCGACTCTCACGTCTCGGTCCTCTTCGCGATCATATCTAGCTTGTACGAAGCCATGGTGAATTCTGTGTCCGACGTGGAAGCGCGAAAGATGATCCCCTTCCGGTTTCTGAAGCAAAATTACAATGACCAGCAACTGTCTGTGAAGCAGTGTCTCGACAGCGTTGCGACGAACCTGATCTTATGAACTGCAAAAGTATCGTACTCGTATAATTGCATTACAAATTTTCTCAGCATGAGAAATGAAATTTGTAATGCAGATTTGCCTTAAGAAAAAGATTTGTAATGCATGAATGCAATTACTACGAGTACGATACTTTTGCACAGGATAGATCTACTCGGTTTCGAAACTCCTCTCCTGGCGACAAAACTACGACCATCTATGGCGTTCTCAAGTGTTACATTCTCAACTGTTACATGAATTTGTCATGCAAATTCACCACCAAGATTGCCACCATTAAGCTGCTTCGCATGACAAATCTACGAGAGGCCAAACAGCATCTAAATCTGTGCCAAATCTGTCATGCGAAAGCAGCAAGCTTGCCTCGTTCATTGTTACCATTCTTGCGTCACAAATTCGTGTAACAGCTGAGAGTGTAACAGTTGAGAACGCCATGCCATCGTGTGGTCGGGTATGAGAATCTGCTGTGGATCGAACACGAAGAGGCGGCGCAAAGTGCAGCGACTATCGGGATCATGAGCAATAACAGTGTAGTAGACGGAGTGTACTATTCCGAGCCGAAAGTCATTCCAGCGATGTTGAATAGTGTATCCAGTGCAGCAGGAGATCATCCTGGAGGTGGAACAGCGAAGCCGGGGCCTCATCAACAAATCTCTGCCGCGCAGCAGCATCAGCAGCATACCAACGAGGAGGCGGAGAGGCTAAGGTTTGTGCAGAAGTTGTGGAAGCATCTGGAGTTTCTGCTGGCTTTGAACGGTTCTTTTCATCTCGAGGAGGAGATGACGCTTTTGTTGCAAAAAACCGCCGACAGCTGCTTAGTGCGAGATGAAGACTTCTTTCATCGCACGAGCCTCACCGGGAGGTCCTTTTTGGAATCCCATCTTCAAGGTGGTCAACACCAAGAGCTTTACCAGCAGTCGGCCCAGGTTTTATTCCAGGACTGCTACTTTGTTGACAAGGCAAACCTGGTAAAAACGAAGAAGCTTATCGACTTGTCGCACGGCTTTGGGTCGCTCTTCAACAGAGACCACTGGCTATGACTTGCAAAAGCATCGCACTAGTAGTAATCGCATCACAAATTTGCTCAGCATGACAAGTGGAATATCTCATGCTGATTTACCTTGAAAAAGAGATTTGTCGCGCATACATGCGATTGCTACGAGTGCGATACTCTTGCACAGCATATTGGCTGGTCTGGCTCCGCGCGTCGTTGGAGATTTTCACGAAGCTCTCCTTCGCCGCAAACGATGGGAACATATCCAAGAAAAAAACGTTGTTAGTGTAAATTTGTGATGCGCAACATGCAAGATGATTGTGTCTGTCATGCTTGGCATGCGTCGTAGGGTGCATTACAGGGCGTCTTCACGTACTATCTGCGCATAACAGGTTTTTGTTGTCATGCCAGACAAATTTGTAATGCTGTTCCTCCAAAAAGGTTACACCTACAATTTTTTTTATTCTTGGATAGAACAAGCTGTTTGCGCAGTATTTCGAGATCGTTCACGGCAACTTTTCCGCGAATTCGTCCGGCGGTGGGCTTGCTTTGTCTCATCTCGTCGGAAGAGCAAGCGCATCTGGAGCTGCAGGAGGTGCAGGCCCAGTAGGTGCCGGTGGGAATGTTAAACGGAAAAACAGCATGAAGCCCGGCGACCACAGTACAAGTAGTACGGCAGCCGCGACATCAGCAGCTTCTTCGGCGGTCGCAGCCATCTCCGCCGCTGCCGACGGTGTTTCCGCACTGTCGTTGACCTCTGCCTCCTCGGGTAACAAGGATTATCAAATGTAAAAGTGTCTCGGTCTGGAAGAATGCAACTTGTGATGCTGCATTTGGATTCCAAAAAAATCTGTATTGCATGAGTACCAAGAAAGGGAATGCAATTTTTGCTACGCTGAGAAGGCATCTGTCATGCGGAATAGGCATCAAGAAGCCCTCAAGAAATCTGTATTGCTAGGGTATGCATCACAGACATCATGGCTCATGCAAAACGTGCATGACAAGTGTCAGAATCTTCCAGACCCAGACACTTTTACACTTGATAAGGATATTACGCGAACGAAAGACAAGGATCCACAGCAGGACGCGCAGCAGAAGGCGTTTTCCGAGCAGGAGAAAAAAACCTTTCTGCTCGAACTTCGGCAGCAGAAGCAGGAGCTGTTGCAAGGGATTCACGCCTATCAACTGCAAAAATGTCTGGGTCTGGAAAAGTGGAACTTGTCATGGTAAATCAGAATCATGCAAAAATCTGTGTTGCATGATGACCAAAAGCTGTCCACTTTCGACCAAGTTGCGAGGGAGTTTCTCATGCAGGATAGGCATGGCAGAGACCTCGCAGAGTCTGTCATGCTAAGTCCCGCATTCCAGACCTCATGGGTCATGGACAATCTGCATGACAAGTTTATCACACTCTTCCAGACCCAGACACTTTTGCAATCCATAACGCTCTGTTCAATGAAGTTTCGGTGAGGTTGTCCGACCGGAATCTCTCGGCTCTGGTCGTATGACACCCTCAGAATGGAAATCCTCAAAGTGGAAATAATTTGTGATGCATGCAATGCGACACCAAAACGACTGCATTGCAGAGAACGCAATGGAGGCCGACCATTGTGCTTCTACGGGTTCAGAATTGGGTTGCTGACTAGCATGAGAGAAGGCACCCCTTTGCCTAACTAGCATGACAGACACGTTTTCAGTACCCGGGAAATAGTATATACAAGGCCGCAGCTTATGTCGCACAGTGGGAAGGTTAACGAGTTGACAGGGGGGAAAGAAAAACGCCAGAGGGGGGGCAAGGGAAAAAAATTCTGATGCAGGGCGGGGCCAAGCCTTTGCGCCGCTTCGTGTTGAAAGAACGAAGGCGGAGCGCCATGGCGCCCGTGGTTCCCGTCGTTGTGCGAGCGCGAGGACCCCGCCCGTATTGGGCCCGCGCTTCTGAGGCGGCAAGCCTTAGGCACAACGACGCAAAGCGCGGCAGCGGGCGGGCGCCAGTGGGCGGGGGAAGGTAGGAAGCAGGAGAACAGCCCGCGCCATGCGCGGCTCTGGCGCGTCACGCCCCGCCCGCGCGTCTGTTTTGTGGCCCGTCTGTGACGCCTGCCGGTGCGCCCTGCTCCTGTGCGCGTTGGTGCCCCCCCGCCCTTCTCCCGCGCTTGGTCTTGCAGGGCAGGGGCTTGCTGGGGCCCCTGCTGCGCGCTTGGGCAGAGTCAGCGAGGACGGGCGCCGGGGCAGGGCATTCAGTCATTGCTGTCCAGGCGCAGGGGCCCACCACCCCCCCCCCCCCCCCGCACCCCCGGGCAACGACGGCGCCCCACGCGCTACCTTGCGCGCAGTCTGTACCGCCCCCGCCTCCCTTCCCTCGCTCGCGCGCAGCGAGCGAGCGAGTCTCCATCCAAGAGACGCGGGCAGGCAGAGAGGCGGATGGTGGCGCCTTCTTCCAGCCCCCTCGCGAACAGAGGGAGGGCCCCGGGGGAGGGTGGTGGGCAGCTGCTCGCCTGCGGGCCTGGTGCGGGGGCCGGGCGCGGCTGTCCCCGACCGTGGGCCGATGCTCCGCGGCCCCGCCCCCCGTGCCTCGCGCCCGCTTCCCCCTTGCTTCCCGCTTACTTGCTTCCCCCGTGCGTGCTTCCCGCTTTCCCCGTGCTTCCCGTTTTCCCCGTGCTTCCCGCTTTCCCTGTGCTTCCCGCTTTTCCCGTGCCTCCCGTCTTCCCCGTGCCCCCGCTTTCCCCGTGCTTCCCGTGTTCCCCGTGCTTCCCGCCTTCCCCGTGCTTCCCGCCTTCCCTGTGCTTCCCGCTTCCCCCGTGCTTCCCGCTTTCCCCGTGCTCCCCGCCCCCCCCCCCCCCCCCCTTTTCCCCGTGCTTCCCGTTTTCCCCGTGGGTGCTTCC